GTTGCTTTTTCTGTTTTCTTTTTGAATTTGTAGGTTTGATGAATTGGATCGTATTTACGATTCCAATTGAATAAATTATGACCATGGAATATTAGTGTTTAAGCCTTTTTATTATATCCTTACTCTGTCCTGGACATTGAGTTCTACCTGGATTCTATCCTCTTGGAATTTTTTATTCAAAAAACTATAAATGTATGTGTATGAATGTATGTATATATATTTATATATTTTGCATATGTATCTGTATATTTACCACTAATATTATCTATCTCTTTCTCTCTCTCTCTCTCTTTCTCTCTCTCTCTCTATATATATATATATATATTTAAAGATATTTTTGTAGGTACAAAATTTAATGATTGAAATAAAAGTATAATATTTAATATTACAAGACATATTAAAAAAAATAAAAATAAATAAAAAATAAAAAAAAACAACAACAACAAAGGGGAAGCAACCGGTTTCGCTCCCGCTCTTCAGGCTTCAACGAGAGATTGGAAATGAATACAGAAAAATGTACAAAAGGAATTGCGGGAAAAAAAAATATTTATATCTATATATATGCAGAAGGAACTAGAGACAAATGACAGCGAGTCCCAACAAGCACTCACGTTGTTTGCATATATATATATATATATATATATATATATATATATATATATATATATATATATATATATATAAATTAATATAAAATATCGCACATTGAGTGCCGGTGGGAATAAAATAGTGTTCAATGTATAATAACAGGGGTTAACATTTATTTTAATAATAATTATACATTTTTCCTCACCTGTACAACAACTCTGAATTTCATGTACGATGCAATCGTCAGGTGCTGATTGAAAACTGTTAGTTATCAGTACCATATACAGCGTATCCACTTATATGTCGTTAATGCACTTTCCTTGAGTGAAAACGCAGACAGCGACCTTTAAATGTTCACAAATATGTAAGAGAGTCTCACTTCTCTGTTAGCCGTTCTCATCTGCTAGATAATGTTGTATATCTGAATTATTCTTTAAACATCCTTGCATTTCCCTTTGGAAATCTCCTACGGATGCATGCTCCCAGGTCAACTTTGATCTTCACGAATTTAAATGTAATGTCAATCATTATCTACTGTGTTATTGCTTTTCATTTATTGTTCTCTCTCCTTAATAGTGTATTTTTTTTTCTCATATTCTTTAACACCCAATTACCTCCTTGCGTTTTAGTGGCTTTATTGGCGTGCTTGGCTTGAAATGTTTTCAAGTCTAGTCTGTTCAAATGCTCTTAGGAAAGGCGAGTATCCATGTTTAATCACAGTTTAGATGGCAACATAAAATGGGCTAACTAGATCTGGGCAGTAACCAGTCTAAGAGAAGGAAAATAGTGGAGTAGGTAACGGGAAAAAGACCATTATATTTCCGAAGAAGGCATGGCAATTCACAGGTAATAAAGTAAAAGGAATTTGGAGAGAGTCATGATCGCCTATGCCCTGGGCATGGAATTTTAAAAAATTCTAATTTTACATATTTCCTTGCTCTTTCTGGGATTGAGTTTCTTATGATGTGCAAACATTGGAATCGTATGTTAGACATAAATCTCTTATACCGTTTGTCTCTTTATTAGCGTTATACTGTTACATGTGATTAAACTGTATTATTACCACATGTTCCTGGCGACATTATTTTGGTTCATTACTGTGTACAAACGGAAATGGTAGGAAATTAGACGCTGAAAAAAAAGGAAAGCACGTTGTTTGCTTTATTTAAAATTGTTTAGGGGACACACCTCTTTTCATGATTCGTTTCATCACCAACAAACAGATCCTAAGTTTACACCCGTCCTAATGAGCGGTTATTCTCTCAATCAGGTTCATTGCCTCAAACGTCGATTGGGGCTAAAGTGGAACTTCGGTAAAGCCACTATGACACAAGAGGTCACTTGGTGTGAAAGAACTAGAAAACAGAAGCATTATTGAGGAACGATAAAAAAAAAAAATAGAAGTGCAATCAGGAAGACAGTAGATAACGGTTAAAATTGTATTTAAATTTTTGAAGATTAAAATCGACTGGAAGAGAGTTCCACAAACGAGAATCATAGAACTTACGGTTACAGCTAGATAATTTCACCTGCAAAATAATGGGACCTTACCGCCAATCTAGTACTGCGCTTAATTAATGAAATCTAAGTACCATTCATCAGAACAATTACCACGAAAGTATTTATAGAAAAGGCACAGGAAAGTTACATTACGGCGGTGGAAAAGTGACTGAAACCGAGATGTCAGGTCAGGACCAATAACATTGCAGATTCTTCTTTGGATTCTAAATATACTGCATGAGTGCCAGACCAGATGTAGCAACAATATTCAAGCCAAGGACGGATGGTATAGACTTATAAATATAATATAATTCTAAAAGACTAGAACTACAGACGAAGCAGTAAAACAAGAAACAACAAAGTATTTATTGGAGAGTTTAGAGAGAACAGAAGTCAGATCAGGAGTATAATT